TCAGAGTAGAATTCACATTCTGTGAGGAAATGTACTTCGTGTTAGACACACTGGCGGTCACATAACCTACATAAACGGAGGTGTAGTGGTGTCTTTGGACGGGAGTAGCGACCAACTTCAACCTCCAAAGGGAGAGAACTGCAGCGTAGTTTTGCCAAGGTACTACGTTGCTGTCTGTCTAAAACAGAGCGGACATAGGTCGACGTATTTAGAGTATTCTTAAAGAGTCTGAAAGTCCTCAACTTATTCCCATGTTCATGACCAGTGTCATTCCATAAATCACGTGACCAACAATCGGCGTCCTTGCATCTCAAAGTGCGTGTGATAAGATGGAATTCACTAATAGAGAAATTAAACAAATCCATAGATGGAAGTTGCAGTGATATAAACATTGCGTTTACTGTCTTATCCCATGATTTGCGGAAGGTAAGAGACCAATTTAGAAACTGTGAAACAAGTCTAGATGGCGGAACAGAGTTTATCTTTCTCCAAAATCGGAAAACTTCTATTTTCTGTTTAGTAAGCTGAGCATGCCAACCCATCTCGCCCCGGACAGCTAAATTTGGAGTATATTTACCCACCCCGAGAAAGAAACGACAAGCTTTATTTGGAACTGCGTTTATACAACTGAATTCTCGATTACCAAAAATAACTGAGCCATATGATAAAATTGGTTGAACAAGATTATTGAATAGCGTATTATATACGTCATATGGCATTCCTCCAAATAGTTTAAATTTACTTATAATTACACCCAGAGCTCTACTCGCGGATTTGGCGATTTCTTTGGCTGTAGAATTCAAATTTAAGTGTTCTTCTAGCCATAAACCAAGATATTTGTATGATGAGCATATGTCAATGTTGTCATTGCCACACTGAAACTCAAATGATGTTCGTTTCACAGATAGTGGCCGATAATGTACTACTTTAGTTTTGCTGGTATTAAGTTGAATTCGCCATCTCTTACACCAATCAGCAACACAGTGAAGCATTGATTGTAATGAATGTTCATTTGGCGCAATTAATGCTATGTCATCAGCATACATCAAAAGACTGAGAAGACTACCACCAACGTCTACACCGCATTTTAGATTGTTTATCTCATGGGCAAGGTCATTATTGAATACTGAGAATAGTGATGGGGACAAGACACATCCCTGCCTGACACCACTCTGTATATCAAACCCTTCAGTAAGCCGATCATTTACCGATACACGGGATACACTGTTGTCATATAAAGACTTTACAGCAGAATAAAATTTACCATTAATTCCTAACTTCATCAGTTTGTACCATAAGCAGTCTCGATTAACACGGTCAAAGGCCTTCATGGCATCAATATAACAGACAAATGTAGAGGACTTTGAAGATTTCCTGTTATTAATTACTGAAAACAAAGTGTATATGTGCTCAATAGTATTACGCTTACTTCGAAATCCATTTTGCTCCTCAGACAATATGTCATTATCTTCTAGCCAACTTGTGAAACGAGAGTTTAGTATATCTGAATATATCTTACAGGAAATGGAAAGTAGTGATATACAACGATAGCCAAGGGGATCTCTGGGGTAATTACCCGGTTTCTTAATAGGCGTTATTATACTTTCATGCCAAATATCTGGACAAACATTATTCTCGAAGCAGTAAGTAAATATCCGGTGCAGAATGTCAACACAAGTCTCATTCTTAAGTGCCTCTGCAGGTATATGGTCACAGCCTACGGTCTTACCACACTTAGAGCGGCTAACAGAGCGTACTACCTCATCGCGTGATATAGGGGCCTGCAGACTGTTTACATCTACATCTACCTGAGGGGGGTCAACAACCATGTTGCTTAACTCGTCCTTGATCTGATCATAGAAAGATTCATCAAATACACCCACTGGATCAGCGTTAAACAACGAGCTATACTCACATTTCCATGCATCTAAAACCCGCGACTTATCGGTGACAACCGTGTCTCCCTGGATTATCTCCCATGGAATGACAGAATCCCGATCGGAAGCTAAGCCAATCTTACCAATAAGTTTCCAAAAATCTCTTCTATTACTATCTTTGTATTTATGCAACAGTCGCTGCTGACGTTCTAACTGAAAGGAGCGTTTGAATTTTCTATGCAGCTTATCAAAAGATTTACGATTAGAGACAAAGACGTGTTTTAATGCCCGTTTCTGAGAGACATTCTTACATCTAAGCCATAGACGTTCACTGTCAACTACTAGGTCCAAGGCAGACTGAAGCTCTGCACACCAATAAGGTTTACGGACGGATTTCTTGTTAGACGTTTTCGTTTTATTTTCATACGTGCCAGCTTTACTGTCTAGCTCAGAATATAAACAAGTTAAGAACTCCTCATATGCAGCATTAACATCTTGTTGTACCGATAAATTAAACTCAATTCTACGGATAGTATCAGAGAAAAGTGTTGTACTCGTATCGTCAAAAAGATTGTCATCAATCCCACTTTGTTTATATCTCTTACGGCTATAGTAATCAGGTAAATGTTCATCACACCGAGGACTACTGACCTCACTAGGAATCCTCACATCACAAGTAATAACAGAGTGATCAGGGATGACATCAGGGACAGACGAGGCGTCAACAAAGCGTGTCATTCTCGTGACATTAAAATCAGTAAACAAAGGTAAGTTCTCATGTGAGGTCACAATATAGTCTACGATCGAACATCCATTTTTAACATATGCATAGTCACGATTTCCAATACGGCCATTTAACATACATAGATTGCAGTTAATGAGAAAATCTAAAAAAAGAGAACCATGAGAATTATCGGTATGGTCTATGACATCTCTGTCGGGCACCTCGTCTACCCCGGCTATATAGTCTCTTTCTGACCCCACCCGTGCATTAAAGTCCCCGCAAATAATTGTGAAACCTTCATTTTGATACAAATAATACTTTTCAAGCAATGTTTCGAAAACACTTTCAGCATCGCTTAGCCTGGATGAACCAGTGGGTGGTAAATAACACACACACAACACCAAAATAAAATCTTTCACAGACTTATGCGATAGTGTAAACCAGATAATATCATCCGTATCATCATCTAAAATGTGCACATTAAAACATTGTAAAAGTGAATTTTTAAAAAAGGCACCGACTCCTCCCGAGCCCCGTTTCGCCCTAGGGTCGCACTGGCCTCTGTTTTTACCAAACCAGGAATATCCTTTCACAGAGATACTATTCTGATCCTTTAAGAAAGTTTCACAGACCCCGAACACATCGCAGTTACTTTTCTCCAGCACAGATTCCCTAAACTGTTTATTTACAGAGTCATTTAACGACCACCCACAACTGTTCCATAGCCCGAGCCGCAATCTGTCCTATTCTCGGATATTCACCAGCCTCCTACCCTGGAATATCAGCTTCTTGTCCACCCCAATCTCTTTGATGACCGCCTGAAGGTTCGACCGCTCGATGAGATCTTCCTGCGACATAGCACTGTCAATATACAAGTCCTTACTGCTCTTCAGGCATTTCTTCGCCTTCAGGAGTTTATGTTTCTGTTCCGTCGTTTCAAGTTTAGCAATGACCACGCCTGGTTTGTTGTCACTCCTGCGTTTTCGCTCTGCACGAACTGCACGTACATCTGTAAGTTTCAGCCCATCACGAATCAGACGGTTCACCAACTGACAGGTCACACTGGAGTTGTCCATTTCACGTTCATCTAGTGACAGATTTCTGATTGTGACACTACATTCTATACGTCTGACCGACCCGTTGACAGGAGCTATTATACGAACATGTCATACTTATTATCAGCTGTTTAACCTAGGTGGCTTGAATATCCGAAAAAACAACAAATTAGTAGCATATATATTTTTAACGTTTTTATTCCAATACCAAGAGTGTACGATATCATCGTTTAAGGTACAATCATCGGTGAAACTGTTTAAAATGCGACTCATCGAGTTGTGTCGATACCGATAATATAGAAAATACAGACAATAGTAATCGCAAACAACGCTATCGTAACATTGAAGCTTTCTACGAGAATATTTGTACACACGTCTACTGTATAGATATTTAAAACTATTGAATTCAGCATACATAAGCGAATTATTTAAACCGAATGAACCAAAACTTTTTACGGTATCCTTATTCGGTACGTAAAAGCAAATCCAGTGTAATCCCGAAATACTAATCTTACATTCATGAGTCACCTGTCGGTCACATAAAGGTCATGCAACCACGTCAATCAACGAAACTACAACATAGGAAAGTGGACACTGTGGGTAATACAAACAGACAAATTGCTTTTTTCAAATCCGTCATGTTACTGGAGAAAGTATTGTAAGTTAACCTACCTGATCAGAACCGCCTCCTAATGCATGCATTCTGCAGTTTGTTGTCGAGCGCGAGTACTGTCACCGGTCACCAGACAGCGTCACAGCAATGCAAGTTTCCTCATATTTAAATATCATGATCCATGGTGATTGTTCACAGATAATAAATCGGCCCCAATGAATGTCTTGACTGCTAGTTATTTACAGGCATACGTTAACTACCCTGGCTATTTCTGACTGAACTGAAAACATTAATTTCACGATTGATATATTTTCCGTAATCATTCGTACCGAGTGGGTTATTCTATTTATTACCCAAAATCATATTAAAGACGTTTTAAGGAAAAATAACTGTCGCCGTCAACTGTTACACGTGAAAAATATAGTTCTTTTAAAAAACTATAAAGATCATATTATTGCAGTTATATTTCTGTCTGATTTACACAGCATACACTACCTCGCATTGATAAAGAAGACAAGTTTCCAAAAAGGTTCATCAGGTCGAAATATCGAATCAATGAGATTGTAGCACGTAAAATATGTGAATGAATTGGGTGGATTTGGTAATGAAAGGGATAAGAGAAAAAATAGTCCCGTTGTCCAATGAAAATTAATCTTTGTTCAACTGACCAATCAGCTTCGAGAATCACTAATTGCACACAGTGCAAATATCAAAAAGATATTACACTGCATATTTTCGCCCATACGGGTAATAATTATGTTTATTCAATGTATATGCGTTTATTGATACTTTCATGAGATCCAGAATACTAGTATAACAGGTTCATAATGAATGTATTGCTTAGAAAGTGTAGTTGCACAGAAATGGTTTAATAACACTCATGATAATTCTATTATTATTTTCACATTTTTGTTTCCCGTTTAAGGAATAAATGCATTAACTTAACAGCAACTTGTTGAAATCTTACGTAATGAACGTTTGTAGTGATACATATGTTCCATTGTCGTGTGAAGTTACTGTGAACCAAAATAAACAACGTCTTAACTCCTTCATGGCATATTCCTTCGCTGAGCAAAAATGTTTCTCGGATTATTTTAAACAAAATACTTGAACAGACGTTTGCAGAATAATTGAAACTTTAATAACGGCAACAACAACGATTCTGTGTAATGTGATTAAATATTGTAATTTTACTTATATATAGCTTTCGAATCTAACTGCTCTCTCAGTTGAAGAATGTCCCGCGGAGGAGAGGTGAGAGTATGCTTTAGTCGGTGTCACTACCACTTTCAATGACAATCCGGCGTCTTTTGCTGGAACCGGGATGGGGGTTTAACCAGATTAATCGTTATGTAATGTTGCCAGAAAACATAGCGTTGACACCACCAGAAACATTTATAATTTGAGACCGCTGACTGTGTTCTCTACTGGCGATTTGGACATAACGCGAGGGTCCGCATTGCATTACGAGGGTTTCACCAACAAGCTGGAATGTCACAGTGTGGGAAGGAGTGTTTCGTGTTTCAGGTTTTGGCATGCCTAAAGTGTGTGTGCCGATGTAAAAGGGATCGTCATCGCGACACAAGTCCAGTGAACGCGTGGAGGCATACAACTTATACACCTACACAGGGAACCTAGAGGGATCAGCAACATTAGACCACATTTTGGGCCTTACTTCGCGAAAATCACGAGGTTTCTCACCGAACCTATTCTTTTCTTGTCTCATGGACAGTTCAAGATATTCTTGATCGTCTCCATCAACATGCGAAGTGAGGTCCCCCCAACACATGTTGTAGTGATCATTGACACCTCTTAGCCCGAAATGAATTGTGTTGTGGAGCCATAGACAGTTTATTATGCTCATTGGGTTACTAATTCCAATGGATCCGGACTGCCACAAGGACTCGATCTCTTCATCACCAATCGGGTCGGCTCTCCTTGGTTGCCACGCCCTTCTTTCTTTAGTTAATTTTTTCTCTCCTTTAATTCTTCCCGTGATCGTGAAAAAGTCTAAAGATGACGTGAGTTTATGGCCATATATACTCCCTTCGTTTTAGTGCTGCTCTGAAAACCCGTGAGACTGTTTGGTTCATAATTTTCCCCATTTGACTTTCGAACACTAATGAAAAACTTGCATAGAAATGTGTCTTGTTCATTTGGGGGGATTTCATGCATTTGGCGAATTTCATTTCGGACTTTTAAAAAGTTATCAAACAGTTTCAAATCGTACAAAGTTTTATTGGCTGTGGGTTTTTTTCGATTGTCTAGGATCACATCATCGTTCATGCCGTCCTCAACAGCCACAAATCTACCTTGGGCATCTGCTTCACCGTGGTCGGCGGTGTTGTTTCGATGATGAAACGTTGGTCACAGGGAATTTTTGATAATCTGCCGTCATCATCGAAAATTCAAATTCGGTACTGTCAACCTGTGACCTGTAATAACCATTTATCAACACGGATATCACTGTAGCACTTCCCCTTTGATCTATGAAAACATTGTCTCCAACATCAAAGGTATCCACGTTGCTTGCAAACACCTACTCACGTGCACCGGCGAAAAAAGTCCCACTTCCGTTTATCTAATTTGCTTATCTAAGTTGCATGCTTATGTCATTGGGGTATGGCATACATGTTTTTATGTCATAAGATTACGTCATGGATAAATGCTTTAGTTATATGATAAATGTGATTACCAAAAAAATACGATGTCATATTCGTCAGAAGAAAGACCACAGTTCAGTTTGTCGACTTCCAAATCAAGACAATAATTAAACCATGAACATATTCGTTAAGAATTCAGTATCAACGAACGAACAAACAACAAAGAAGTGTAATATCAACAAGTGGACTACAAAATTAATTAGCTTAAGAAATCAATACAAACTCCAGCAAAATGTAAATTACATTTGCAGTACACAATATAGAGGCAGTACAAATATCAATGGCAGTATTTCAATGTAATAGCAGTGGTGATAGCAAAACGTCAGTGATAATAATACTTACTTATCAATCAGCAACAGTTGTCAAGCTTCCAAACAAAGGCCTAGGGTCAAAACGTGATCTTCACACAACCGCTGGTCGTGATGTAATGTGTGGTGATAGAGGCATGCGTTTGCTCACTTATATAGTCTAAATACCTTCCAGAAGGTTCTAAAAAGTCCATTCTTGAAGTTCCAGATTCTTTTGACCCGAAAAGCATCTAAATATAGTAACTTCCACACCACTGCTTACATTAGATAGTTCTACATTCCGGACAACTAACCATGGTCAAAATACAATGCTATGCACTTCTACTGAATCTCAACGGAAACAGTGCAATACAATTATAACATCGTTTCACAATATTTTATACTTCCGCATAACCAGTTCTAAATTATCTAAAATATTTGGATGAGAGATTTTTTTATTTCCCGGGGGAGTGACAAAGGTCATATGAGAGGGTTTTGTGGCGTAGATGTATTATCAATCTTCTAGTATTGTCCACTCATGTTCATGAGGCGAGTCTTATCACTCACACTTGGATGTCCATGTCTCACGTAAGCCTGCTGTGATGTTGTCCATGACGCTTCGTGCCACTAGGAGTAAGAGTCTGTCTTCAACAACATACAGACTTTACTTTCTCTTTCTCTTTACTTACTCATGGCAACATGGACATAACACTGTTTTGCAGTTTGTGCGTACGTTTCCATCTTCACTAATTCAATATCATGTCCTTGGGCATTTCAAGTTGATCCCGAAGCCACAACGAGAGCTTCTCGAACTGACACACCAGTAGCATTTTCACAGTTAGATACCATACTAAGATGAGCATCGTTTGATGGTACCGATGCCTTTGTTTTTAAAGTTGACAGAAACCCGAATACAGAAGCCAAGAAGAACATTGCACCTGAAAAAAAGAAACTATCAACTCAGCAGCAGTGCGTATAATGTAACTAGTTGATGGGGCAGGGATGGGTGTGAGGGTGGCTGGGTGAGAATGATCTATACTAGCCACATTAAGAAACTGTGCACGGAGAAAATATAGATATAAGGGCACACCGTCCATATATGAAATATAGGTTTGAACACAGAAATTATTGGAGACATTCAAACGCTAATGCACGTGCCATGCGATATGACGTCATTGATGGGGGCCTATGGACGTGCAATGTGTTACTGCACGTGCTTCCTGTGCAGCTGTACACAGCATGTGCAACTCAAAATTCGCTGTCACTTTGGAAAGCATGATCTGTGGTCATTCAAAAATTCAAAACTTCTCAGGTGCAGACACAATCATATCACAAGCAAATCATGCCAAGATTGACAGCTGCACAGCGTCATGAAGCCATTGGAATGATCCAAGCGGGAATGAGGCAAAACAGGTGGCAACACATTTCCAATGCCATCGTAACACGATATCGGCATTGGTGAGGCGTTATCAGAACACAAATGACGTTGCCGACCACCCACGTTCAGGACGTCCCCGAGTAACGACGCCAAGACAGGACAGATGGATTCGAGTTACACATCTCCGACACAGGTTCCAAACGGCAGTAACGACGTCCAAGACAATTCCTGGACTGCGCCGTATCCATCCCAACACTGTCAGGAATCGTTTACGTCAGTACGGGATTCGACCACGACGTCCTGCCATACGTCCCATCCTGACACACCGTCATCGAGTCAACCGTCTAAGATGGTGTCGAAATCATGTTCGCCAGCCTCGAATATGGTGGAGAAATGTTGTCTTTACAGATGAATCGAGGTTAAACGTATCCCACAGTGACGGGCGCCAACGTGTCTACCGGCTTTTGGGAGAACGTTATGCACGCAACTGTCTTGTGGAGAGGAATCGTTTTGGAGGTGGCTCTGTGATGATTTTGGGTGGGATAACAGCACGGCACCGAACCCCTTTGGCGGTTGTTCAGGGCAATCTCACCGGTGTAAGCTACAGAGATCAGATTCTGAGGCCTTTGGTCATTCCTTTCCTGCAACGTCATGGCCCGGGATTGACATTTCAACAGGACAACGCTCGTCCTCACACGGCTAGGGTCGCAATGGATTTCCTTCACCATAACAATGTCATGTTACTGCCGTGGCCTGCAGTTTCTCCAGATCTCTCCCCAATAGAGCATGTGTGGGATGAAATGGAGCGCCGTCTGCGTCGTCTTCCACATCCTCCAGATAACGTCCGTGACTTGATTTGAGAAGGATATGGCAGGCCATTCCCCAGGCCTTCCATGCCCATTTGGTGGACTCCATGCGTCGCCGATGCACTGCTGTGATTCACGCACAGGGGTGTCATACCCGTTATTGACTTTGTGACTTTGTCGTATGACCCCCCTACTCCATTTTGATCTTCTGACGTCATCGTAACAGATGTTGTTCAGGTCCCGTTGACATTTTCTTATGGTCCGATCATTCAGCTGCTACAGCGTCTGCATCATTTCGTTCTTGCTGTGTTGTATTTCAATCCAGAATATATTTTCTCCGTGCACAGTTTCTTTATGTGGCTAGTATATTTTTTCAGCTATATGTATGAACAACAAGACCGCCACCGTGGTCTTGAGGTAGAGCGTCCGCCCGGAGAGCGGAAGTTCCGGGGTTCGATACTCTGCCGCGTCATACCAAAAGACGTTAAAAGATTGTGCTTGTTGTTACCCTGTTTTGAGTTCGGCATTAAACTGTGGCGTGGTATCTCAGTGTGCTAGCACTATAAATCGGCATCAGTCCAGATTAGTACAAGCAGCTGGACACACACACACACACACACACACACACACACACACACACACACACACTCACTCACACACACACTCTCACGCACACTCACACACATACTCACTCACTCACTCACTCACCCACTCACTCACTCACTCACCTACACACACACACACACACTCTCACACACACACACACTCACTCACTCACTCACTCACTCACACACACACACACACACACACACACACACACACACACACACACACACACGTCGCTATGTAAGTGCACTAATCTCGGGCGCGACGTGAAACCCCATTTCACCTCACCTGTAACCAACAAACTATTTATTTACTGAGCGCCTATAAGTCTATTCATTTTCACACAACATTTCTGACGTTTGGGTAATTTCCACAAAACAAACTATTCGGTTATTAACGCTGCCAACAAACTGTTCATTGCGGACATTTTCCTAAATGAACTATTCTTTGAATAAAATCTCTCTCCTGCATCCCTCTTCGAGTGTGCACATATTCACCTCGCTGTGCAGAGTTGCGTCCCTTGGGCACGCCAAAAACCTATGATTGTGGATTCGAATCCCGGTTCGCCCCGATTATGTTTCTAGGTTTGTCAGCACCATACCCGTGCTCGTGGGTTTCACCGAAGTGGAAAACATCTGAGACCTGCATCACTTCGGGCTTTCCTCTCACATTAAGCTGACACGCCGTGATATAACTGGAATACTGTTAAAAGCGGCGTTAAACCCAACTCACTCACTCACTGTTACGGATGGCCACTATAAGATGCGTGGATGAGTGTGTTGAAAGACATTCCAGTTTTTTATGTCAGCTTCAAGAAGCAAGAACATCCAAAATGAGACAAACAAGAGTAATACCAAATTAAAGTGTGATAAAAATGAGTAATGTATTATTCTAACCCTTGCGTATTATGTCAAACCGAAAGCTATTTAATTCATAAATACAAAATGGTTATACGAACACGTGTAGTGATAAGATTATTTTCTAACTTGAAATTCATTATAATTAAACGAAGCAGCACATTCAATACTTTTTAGGTTCGGGGTTTTTAATATTTGGTAAGGGTGGCGTTTCAGCGAATGATATATATTTCTGTATAATTAGATATGGGAACATAAATATGTTATATGTGTAAAACAGAAGGAATAAACATGAAAAATATGACCTACCTGAAAACAGAAATGCACTGTAATACTGACCACATCCTTTAACTATGGCCCCTACAAGGAAACATCAATTCAGATTATAAGAAGGATGCCATTATTGTATAGTGTTTGCTTTTAAAATGTGTAAGATAAGGTAGCATAATCAGCTTATATTCTTGAAAGTCATTTGTTTTGAAAGGATAAAAAAGTGTAATATTCCCTACCGGTTCTGAAGGCTGTTGTACAGCGAATGATAGATCTTGTCATATAATGAAATATTTAAATATGTGTACATAAATGTGTAAATTCAAAACGTCATCGATCGAGATTATTATCAATCCCGATTATCTGCATTGTCGGAAAAGGCAATGAAAATTTTGTGAACGGTTCACTGAAACTCAGCGATAACGCCACCTGTTCTAGAAACGGGCACGGATGCGTGGCCCAACTGGTAGAACCCACCAATAAAACACACTTGTCCTTCAAACAATAATTAAGTGGTTTGTTTGTTGCGTAACACCACATCAAAAAAAATCCTCCGTCCATAAACAATCGAGTCTGGACCAGACAGTCCAGTGATTAAGGTAACAAATGTTATATTTGGGATAACACTTTCATAGTAAAGTACAGGTTTATGTACATTTTTGGCTTGAGTCCCGTCCGGGTTTCGAACCCACACTGCCAGATTGTGAGGCACCTAATCGCTGGCACATAAAGTCTAGCAGCCACCAAGGCTTCTGCAAAAATGAAAGCCGACAATTGGTAGTCTAGATCACGTACTTTGTGTACCCCTCTGACAAGTGTAAATTGGCACGGCTCCCATGGTCGAAAGCTAGACAACTACAAACACATGCAAATTGTCAATTGTTCACCTGATAAAAACACGGGAACATGTGTCACAAGGCAAAATAGGAAATTGCAGTGGTCATCACTGTTGTCACTGATGGCCCAATATGGTAATGTCCCCCACAAATCTACCATAACACATTTTGAAAGCTTTACAAAGCCATTGAATGATGTAACTCTGAGTAAACAATATTTCAGCAACAGTTGTACGATCAAGCTCGATTGTGCCTCAAAAGCTTAAAATGTATGCACCGAAAGAATTTTCATTTTAACAAAGTCATCATTTAACACTAAATGTATGCGCATAATGTGTATATTAGAAGGTATCATTGACCTACCGTAATAGCTTCAAGCTATCGCACAAAATGTGCCAGAAGTACACATATACTTCCTGCGGAATGAAATCAAATCAGGGTTTGGTAAAACAACTGGTAAGGTCTAAGGCTCATGTGTTACAATACGATCTCTTGCGAGCGTGTCCTTTGCTTGTCATCAATTCTAATCCCCTCTTGTTTCCTTTTCTTTTCTTTGCTTGTTGTCTTACGCCGCTCTCAGCTATTTTCCAGCTGTGTGGCTGTCGACTACTGGTGCAGCAGGAAATGCTTCCCTTTTCGCGAACACTTGCTGTCATAACTGATTTACAATGATCCATACCTATAAGTTTCACCACCATCTTGCCTTTTACACCCAGTGGAATATGTTTCGGTTCATAATCGAGACTGGTTAGTCTTTGGCGTTGACGTATCCTACTTACAAATCATTTCCTTAGTTTTGTTGGTTTGTTTGTTGTTTAACGCCGCACTCAGCAATATTACAGCTATATGGCGGCGGTCTAAATAATCGAGTCTGGACCAGACAATCCAGTGATTGACATTATGAGCATCGATTCACGCAATTGGGCTCGATGACATGCATCAAACAAGTCAGCGAGCCTGACCACCCGATCCCATTAGTCGCCTCTAAAGACAAGCATAGTTGCCTTTTACGGCAAGCATGGGTTGCTGAAGACTTATTCTACACCGGATCTTCACGGGCCCATTCCCTTAGTGTAACACCTATATATTGGCCTTGGCATTTGGCACAGCAATGAAAATGTGTTTAATTTCGTAGTTTATCTACATTCATTTGAGCAATGTGTCAACGTTCACAATTTACTATGTACTGGTAAACATTATTATTTAAGAAAAAAACAATGTTGGTATGCATATTTTTGTCATAGCAAAATATTCCTAATGGTATTGTTAGGCGAGAGACGTTTGCCATTGCCATGCAATACTATGTTTTTTCAAAGGAAATTAAAACAGTAAGTTGAATAGAGAGTTGAATGATGTAGGCTAAATATCGAATTAAATGTTCTTCCTTTGCGCCGGGGGCACGGGTGGCGATTCGCTGTGCAGAGTTGCGTCCCTTCGGCACGCCAGAAACCTATGATTCTGGGTTCGAATCCCGGTTCGGCCCGATTATGTTTCTAGGTTTGTCAGCACCATACCCTTGCTCGTGGGTTTCACCGAAGTGGTAAATGTCTGAAACCTGCATCACTTCGGGCTTTCCTTCCACATTAAGCTGACACGCCGCGATATAACTGGAATACTGTTAAAAGCGGCGTTAAACCCAACTCACTCACTCATTTGCGCCAATACGTACCTGCAATGGGAGAACCCACCAAGAAGCCAGTGCCACAAGCAAACCGAACAACCCCTACACCTGTTGCAAAGTCCTGCAGGTCAAGTAGGTCAAGTGTCAAAGGGGTCATAAGGACCCACACACCTCCCGTATACAGTCCGAGAATAAAGCCATATATCATGTTGAGGTGTGTCCCTGATTCGAAAAGCGTTATAAGGAGTGAGAATATAGCCATGATGCCATTGACAGAAGAATGCATAGTGCAACTTCCAATGTTCTCATCATTCGCGGCAAATCCAGTGAGAATACGAGAGAGAATACCACCAATGCCGGACATTGATAACACAAACGATGCTTCCTGTTGTGAAGATCCATGTGTCACAAAGAAATTTGGAACAAATTGGTATTGTGTTGAGACACCGAGCGAAAAACACAATATACTGACTGTATAAAGTAGAAATGATACATTTTGAATGACACTGACAATCCTCGTAAAGTTTCCCCACATTGGAAGCGTAATCTTTTGTCTAAGTGTTTGACCGCCAAGTGCATTTCTTTGTCTGTTCACCTCAGTGCCAGCAGGACGCATCAGCATGCCGGCAGCACAGGCGTGAAATGTTATTCCTCCTGTTATAAGATAGGCTCCATGAAATCCGTATTTCTCAAGGAGAAACTGAACCAGTGCTGGGAGAACAAATATTCCGAATCCTGCTCCGGTGAAGCAAATACTTGAAGCGACGACTGCGTGTTTCGGAAAGTAGTATCCAAGAATGACTACTGTTCCAGTTCCTGCCAGACCCGTGCCCAAACCTGAAAATGATGTTTACAAACACATACTTTCAGTTTAGAGGCATGAATACTAGTGAATGTGCTAGTAAGTCGGACACGCTTTAACTGTGCATCATTACATCACAAATGCTGTATAGTAAAGTACGTTTTTAACGAACACGCTTATAACGAACTTAGTTTTTAGTCCCGACCATTTGTTGTAGATATGCTGTATGTATGCTTATAACGAACTACAGTTATTACGAACTAAAATTAGTGGTCCCCTCGAGTTCGTTATAACCGTAGTTTACTGTAACTGGAGAGTAACGGGAGAGTAAACAATAATACTGTAAATTGTAAATATAGGTCTTTTAAAATTTGCAGAACCGCCGCATTAGTACTTAATGTCAGTTGGGCTACTTTAGGATAGAAGCGGTCGGGTAGCCTAGTGGTTAAAGCGTTCGATCGTCACGCCGAAGACCCGGGTTCGATTCCCGACATGGGTACAATGTGTGAAGCCCATTTCTGGTGTCCCCCGCCGTGATATTGCTGGAATATTGCTAAAAGCGGCGTAAAACCATACTCACTCACTCACTTTAGGATATGTTTTTATCCTATCTCGATGAAGACCATAAAAGACCATTGTATGGACCATTCGATACGTACCTGCTACGAGGGCAAATGTTATGAATAACGATTTAATGTCCGTCACCAGACAGCTGGTCGCAAGACCAATCATCATCACGAATCCAGACATCACCACACACGTTCTACAGTCAAACACGTTGATTATGAAGCTGGCTACAGGTCCTGAAGTAGAAGAGGAACATTTAGTCATTTTTTCTTATAACATCCCTGTAATGCGTTTCCATAACATACGATGGTAAATCACAAAGTTCGTTGGCTCACTTAGGTCATCGTTGTGTATATACTCTTTCAAAAAGTAGGGGGTGCTAGGAAATAACTTAAATTTCCAAAATTGTAAGTGAAATTAGTTTCTAATAATACATATAGTTGTATGATAAAATGAACGTATTTGAAAAAGATTACTACCGGGGATGAAGTATGACAGTAGATTTTACTACCGCCAACGACCATAATTATAAGATATGAAGTTTCACGTTATGATTTTGGATCAGTAGTGCGTAATGCCGCCACAATTTGTCAAACATACATTCGATCGACGAGGCATACTGCTTACAATGGTCTCGCCATGGTGATTTGAGAGAGGCATGTACATTCCGCAGTCCTCGTGTGGCGCCTGGCCAAATGCAGACGCTTACGTTGACGCACACGTCGTCACAGACGTGTTCAATGGAGGAAAGATCTGGGCTCACTACTTACTCACTCACTCACTCATTCACCCACCAACCCACCCACCCTTCCACTCACTCACTCACTCACTCACTCACTCACTCACTCACTCACTCTACGCCTCACCTGACAGGGCGAACATGCAGCCGAAGGTCGATCCTACCCAGGTAGTAAGAACCAGGTCCTCCTGGAACTCCTCCAACATGGCGACGTGGAATACGCCAGTGGCGTAGGTGAGACTGGGGCCGATCATCATTACCACAAAGGAGGCAGCCAGCACAACGTAGGAATACACTCCGTCAAATTCCATAATACTGCTTCATGAAGGGCTAAATATCTTAAACATTAAAACATTTGTAGATATGATTTTGCTGGAAGTTGGACTATTATAAGCTGTTGCTTCTGCTTAACGCCCCACTGAACAATATTCAAATGACGTCGGAAATAGAATGTACCGTATTCGACGTAATAAGCGCCCAGGGCGCTCTCAAAATTAGAAATAAGGGGTTCTTATAAGAATAATATTTTGGTGGAAAAAAACAGAGTTGAAAGATAAGTTTCATGGTTTATGGGGACAACCTGAAATGTTCATGTACGACAGATAGATACTATTTAAAAAAATTAATTGCCCATAATTAAGGGTGAATATAACACACGAATGCGTATAATACGCGAATAAATAAGTCTTGTGTACATTGATCAATTGGAAGGGGTGCTATTCGGGAGTGTTCACTAGCCAATATCTTTGCAAATGTGGGCGCTTATTACGTCGAATACGGTATCTGTATACACAGTGCAACAAAAGCAGGACATACATCACCATATACATTCAATCTATTTGTCAGTTTAATATTAACACAAAGGGTGTAGCGCGCTGAACATGCTTCAGGGCTTGGAGGTACTTAATTATTTAATACTTGTGATACCTGTAGCAATAAATGATACGGAAATGCAACAGCTGATGGTGAACAGTGGTCCAGAACCCCCATTACCTATACTACTACATCTGTTATTGAAATGTCAACCACTGTGGGTACTGCGGCCATCTTTAACGTTATTGGCGTGTGTACATAGCTTTACTGAACATATCTCCTGTACAGGTATACAATAAATAATACGATTTTTTTCTCACCACGCACCGGTGATGGAATAACATTGAATATCTGATCAGAATATATAATCATAATCATTCAGAAGTTTCATTGTTGTGGCTCTTGGAAATACGATGTTCAAACATTCTGTGAAATTTGATATAATTCTGATTAGTAATACTGACGTACAAAAAACACTATTATTTGAACAATTGTTTATGTCATTATAATTAAATTTTCGTTGTGTTCATTGAAATTCCAACATTTTGATTAGCTGTATTGGTCACGTGTTATTGCATTCATTACCCTATGAATGTAAAAATATTAAGCCACGCCCACCGAAGCGGACTACTTTTATTACTGCGGAATGTCGGGGAATCCCACAATTACAGTCGAGGGAATTCCCTCTCCGCTCACGTGTATCGTCATGCATAGGACATATAGCGAAACTCATGCATATTCTTGTCCAAACAACCCTTTGGGACCGAAGGCCGAGAAGGAATGAAACAGCAAACGTGCAGGCTCGCTCGCCTTTATTCCAGCTCGCCTCAGTTCCACAACTTTCATGTTTTCGGGCTTCATTTCTAACTAGCATTTATCCAACTGTGTCTTCCCGTTCTCAGGGAATTAATGTTCGAATCTGGCGACAACAGACCATGTCATTTGAAACAGCCGCCTTCTCCCGGACATATCTGTTCCGGTTCGTTACAGTCTGACTGTTGCAGTGCTTCTCGCCTCTTACCTTGATCGACAGGTCCAATGAACTTTGTGTTGATTCTATTCTCCGTTGATTGGCTACTGACTTTGTAGGCGTGTCAAGATATGTGCATAAACTAAACAATCACCTGATTAATGTCACGCCACAGTATGTATTCCTACACCTGGAATGTTTTTCAATCTCGTCATTTTTGACTGTTTTGAAATGCAAACTATATGAATCCGCGTAGCGGAATCTTACAAAAGTTTGCACATCGGTTTTTCGATTCAAACCTCAATAAACCGAACAAAATACACAATCAATCCATAAATGAGGAGTAATGTGCATTCCACAATTTATTTTCATCAGTCTAGCATTTAACAGAGCTAATTAAAGAGTAAAGGGAAAAATTCAAATCAAGCCTAAAATGTAAAAGGACATAACATATAATTACGTTTCTTATAGTTGTATATAATTGGAAGAATATGAATACATGACTCTTTTTTCAGAATGGCAACCTTTTAATTATTTCCAATTGTAACGAGGTTTCAAGACTATTTCTATTCCAGCCCCCTTCTCCCCCTACATTTTTATACATGTTTAATGTTGAAATAAATGCGATAATTACCTTCCATATTCATTTGAAACCTCTGTCCAAAACATGAATTGATTGTACGATTCCGATTATATCCTGAGTGAGTGAGTTGGGTTTAACGCCGCTTTTAACAGTATTCCAGTTATATCACGGCGTGTCAGCTTAGTGTGGGAGGAAAGCCCGAAGTGATGCACGTCTCAGATGTTTACCACTTCGGTGAAACCCACGAGCACGGGTATGGTGCTGAAAAACCTAGAAACATAATTAGGGCGAACCTGGATTCAAACCCACAATCATAGGTTTTTGGCTTGCGCAAGGGACGCAAGTCTGCTCAGCGAATCGCGGCGTCTTTGACGACTGGGCCATCCGTGCCCCATCTTGAGAATTCGTCACTATTAAACCGTGACGACACCAGGTGTTCGCGAAACATCATTGTTTTCCACAATGTGCTGACAATAGGAATGTCGGTGGTTGGCGGCTGTTTTTTGCCAAGTGTCCTGACCATGACATCGAAGACAAATATTGATCACATTTTACTTTATTTTTATTGCATCCAGTATATTTGTCCCGACCGTTTGCAGTATATATGTTGTAGATATGCATATAACTCTTTTGGTTCGTTATAACCATAGTTTACTAACATTGAAATTGAATTTAACTAGACAGCACCCCCTGTTTTATTATTCTAAAAGGATCATTTACAAATTTCCACACGATCATAAATCCATCGTGTTATTATATTTTTACTTTAATTGATTAATATTGGGCCAGTTACAATTAGATATACAATGTAAGTATAATATAAGTGAAGCCGGTATTGTCATAATCAAAGATGTTTTTGTTTAAAAAAATTTGTTTTGGAGTGTTACTTGTTTGTTTTTTTGTTTTTTCTTTTAGTTTCCACATGAAAAGGTTCTAGCAACATCTTCAAAATGTACATTTACAATATCAACAAGGTGGTATTTGGTGTGTAACATGCATCCCCGTGTACAGCACACAAAGAATGTGTACTTTACCTAGAAAATGTTATACCAAATATAACATTTCTAACATTTGACCACTTACTAAAATGGCATTGCTTGTTCATAGCTTTCGGCCCAGGGAGCCGTGCCAATTTACACTTGTCAGAGGGGTACACACAATTCGTCATCTCGGCTTCAAGTTGTCGGACTTTCATTTATGTGGAAGCTTCGGTGGCTGAGTGGGTAAGATTGCTGACTTTGTGTGCTGGCGATTAGGTGTCTCACTCTGGGGGTGTGGGTTCGAATCCTGGATGGCACTCAAACAAACAAGGTACAAAATGTTATACCAAATATAACATTTGCTATATGAAACAAGGGAACTGCATCGGCCCCTATTGCGTCATATTTGGAAATGTCCTCCATATATCTACCATAAAACATTCTGAATCCCTTACTGAGGCCTTGAATGTTGTAACCTAATCTATTTTGAGTGAGTGAGTGAGTATGGTTTTACGCCGCTTTTAGCAATATTCCAGCAATATCACGGCGGGGGACACCAGAAATGGGCTTCACACATTGTACCCATGTCGGGAATCGAACCCGGGTCTTCGGCGTGACGAGCGAACGCTTTAACCACTAGGCTACGACCGCCCCAATCTATTTTGATAAGGTATGGGAGGTTGAACATTATTCTCAGTAACCAAAGAGGTTTTTTAAGTATTGTTTCTCATTTTTTGGTGTTCTGTTAGAAGGACAAAGGTCACAAAATATATAAAATCGAGTAGCGTATCGGAGCGATTTTATACGTACTAACTTCCTGACTGTTAGCCTTCGATAAATGACGAAGCTTCTTAAGAAGTATAAGATGTGCTCTAACCTGTAACAACACAGAGGTGTGATCCCTGATTGACGAAGCCTGTCAAAGGTTGACAGGGACGTGAGTTTTCAAGTTTGTTTGTGAAAACTATTCTTTCCACATTAAAGCTAAATTAATCATGCTTTTTTAGCGCTGGTTTTAACAAGTGCAAATTATAACATCAAAGTTGAATATTGGCGTAAATTAATTGTAAGGGCTCAGTCACACATTCAGGATTTTATTGCCGTCCTTGATAGGACCATTCCCGATTACGATTTGTCAAAAGTTTTATCAAGATCCTGTCATTCGTGGCGGGAAATTCACAAAATTGTAAAAACATTTATTTAATCACGACAACAATCAGATATTGTTCAGGAAGCATCCCGATTCAGCTGTTTCCAGCCGAATTCGTCCCGATTCTCCCGTTCTCATCCGAATCTGATCCGATTTGTGTCTTCCACTCGGTATAAAACGAACGAATCTGTCCCGACAGCGTCCCTATTCTCCTAAATGCGATCCGACAGAGATCAGACAGCGACCGGACATATTCGCAAGATCTGGAATCAATCTCGACTCAATCGACAAGAAACGGCAATAAACAATTTCTCCAAATCATGCCCGTTCATCACGAATCCACAGGACGCTGTTCAGACAACACAGGACATTGTTACGATTTTGATCCGATACAGCAGAATTTGTCACAACTGTAATCCGACTAGACAAATCTTTGAAAATCAATTAATCCTATTTGGGGGACACAAATTTAGAGCATTTCAAACATGGTCGGTGTCATGTGGTTGCAAATTCATTTCTTATCCCAGTCGCCATGTAATTAATTTATTTTTACACACAATTACCCAGACGACCTATTCCATTTAATGACTTCATGGAATAAATGTATATTCTGAGATATATTCTGTAATGTTGCTATTTGGGCAATTATACACTCCCTGAACTCAACTCGGTTTGTACCGATTCAGTTTCATCAAGGGATGTAACTTATATAAAGTATTCGCCTTGAACATGCACAAACAACAACTATGTGGTTAAAGCGACAATAGAAGACGAATATAGTATGTCTCGAATATTAATTTGGGCTAGAAACATGGTCATGAAAAAACATGGTTCTGACAATAGTTTTATATTAAACATTTTTTAACTTCGCCAGAAAACACCAACAGGTACCTGTATTAGAAGACTATTATTCCGCAGGCACCTATGCGTGTTATAAGCGGCGACTAAATGTATCCGATGTTTATAGGCTCCTTGACTTGGTCGATCGCGTGTAATCACACCTCGACGGCGATGATCATGGCTAAATGAATCACTGGATTGTCTGACCTGGACTCGATTATCTACAGATCATGTCGCTTGAATATCGCTGAGAGCGTTAGACCAGAAAGAAACTTAACACACAT